AGTCCAACTTCCTTGCGTGCACACCAAGCGATGGAGAAGGCAGAGAGTGAAAGAAGTCTGCCTGCCCCTCTGTGCACTCTAGGAACTGTTTGTGCCTGGAGACTTATACAGTAGCAAGGGCTGCCAGTGGAGAGGAAACCAGACTGAGTTTCCTCTTCAGCTTTGCTCCCTTGAAACAGGCTTCTTTCCTCACTTCCAAAATATCCATAATGTAAAATAATTTATGAACTTCTGGGCAAAACTGAACTAAGTGGTATTGTGCAGGCCCGTCAAAATCTGACTGTTAAAGGAAGATCAAAGTCAGGTTCGATGGTGAGATTAGCAAGCAATTCCAGGAACCTCGTTCTAATGAACAATCCCTACTGGAGGGTATCTTTTCTGTGGGATTTTGCGACTGGGTGACTGTTATTCACAGTAGTACCAGAGACAGTGTAACAAAACCAAGGAAAATTAAAACACGGTTTTGCTGCAATGAGTGATTTTTCAAAGTTATGAAATCAAAGGAATTCGGGCCAGGAATTTTTTAAAAATTATTGTTTTGTTTTTTGGTTGAGTTTGAGAGAGATCATTGCTGTCAGTGATATTCCTCTTTATTTCTTTGTTGAGTGAGTCATTGGATTTGTGGACTGAAAACCATACTTTTCTCTTTCTCAAGTAATAGTAACCTTCACCTTTTATATTTATTATATTTTTGATTTCCGGGTGCCATGATTTCTTGTATTGTTGATGAGTAAAAGCATTAAGTTATATATGTTATATATTATCAAAGTACTATAAAGATGGGGTTTTTTTAACAAAACAGAGGTGTACAGAGAAAAGTTCTATTCTAGCTGTCATGATCATTTTTCTCATATCTAGTTTAGGTTAAAAACAGTGCATGTAGTCTGGATAATTTAAATAATTTTTAGGCATTGACTTTAATCTGGGTGTACAGGATGTTATTTTTTACTGTAGTTAAGAAATTTGTTGGACCAATATGAAAGGGCTATGAAACTGTTGAGCCTACTAAGAGCCTAGCAATTTTTTTTTTTTTTGTACAGGCTTATTTATACATTCTTAAACTGGTTTTACAGTAAATGAACCATGAATAGAGGTAACTGTCTTCAATAGCGGGTTGTCAAGTACCAGATTTTCAAGTCTCTGTAAAATACGACCTCTGAAGTAGTTTATTATTACTGCAATGAACTGGGATTTACAGATGATACTTCCAATAATACCAACATAAACTTAGCAATCTACTCATCGCATAAAGCCTTAAAATTGAGGTCAGGGTGAAGTCTATGATTGGCTTTGGAAGGGATATAAAGTTTTGAGGAGTATATTTTCCTCATTCTGGAGGGATTTGCAGGTGTAAACACCATAGAGAATGTATATCCACTGCTTTCTACTGGAAAAAAACAAAAATACAAGATGCTTCAGGGTTCCACTGCTGGCTTCCAAAATCACTCATATGCTTAAATTCATCGTGCTGAAATTAGTCATGTGTAAAAAATTGGTTTCCTTTTGGCATAAAATTTGCTAGGATTTATAAAGTTGCAGTTAAAGCCTGCAAAGGCTCTTTAGTAGTGGAAAAACTGATACATGTGAATATTTTCCAGTGCCTGGATGCACTGACTTCATTCTGGAACCATATTAAATATTCATTTGTGAGGGCAGATTCTACTCCAATATAGCTGTCCCTTCTGTACATCCTCGGTTATCACATGCTGCTCACAGGAAGGCCTTCTGCTTTAGTGCTCATCAGTCAGGATGTACTGCAGCAAGATTACTTCAGGAGCATGACTGGAGTGTGCTATAAGAGGTGGTGCAAATGTACACCATCTTTAAATATTCCCTCTTTCTCATTGTTTGGTAAATCCATGGTTGTCTTCTCACAGGCAAGATGCAGAAAGAGCACTGATGGTAGGAAAAGGAGTGTTTTAACTTTCCTTTAGTTCCTACTTCAGTGACAAACATACTTCCCCTCTGCAGCCACTCACTCAGCTCCCCTCCAGCTTCTGCTCACACTGATCATCACTTGCTTGTTCTGTCTCTCTAAGTTCCTCCTGAGCACCGTGCTTCTGAGGAGAGGCTGAGAGTAGAGACTGTTGAGCCTGGAGAAGAGCAGACTCAGAGCATATCTCATCAATCTAAAACTGAATGGAGGGTGCAAAGAAGACAGATACTTCCAGTGGTGCCCAGTGACAGGCCCAGAGGCAATGGACGTGAAAGAAACTGTAAAATGGGAGATCCTCTCTGAACATCATCAGGGAACTGTAAGAGTGACTGAACACTGGAATGAACAGGGAGTCCAGAGGTGTCATCTTTATACTTGGAGATACTAAAATATACATCCAGTTATGCCCATCCCAAGCAACCAGCTGTAGATGGCCCTTTTTGGGTGTATGGGAGATTTGACCAGATGACCCTTTCAAACTCAACTGTCCTTTGGTTCTAGAATGTTTTCATCCTGCTGTCAAGCAGGCATTGGTACTCTTCACACTTTCCTGTTGGTTTTCAGCAGTCCACATAGTTTCACATCCTGCAAGAGCCTTCACTCCTCTCAAGCACTCTGGCACATTGCACAGAGAGGCTCATCCTCTAGTTGTGCTCTTTCACCATTAACCTAAAGTAAACAGCATGAGGGTTGCTGCTTGAGGGCTGCATTTAGCAATGGTTCTCCAGAATTGTGTCTTCTTATTCCTACAACTTATTTTCTGGCATCAACTCAAATATATACCCAAGCAAGGGAAATCCATGTGAGAATGGGCAGGTTCCTGAAATGCTGTCTGAAATCAGTAACAAAATTCTCACTGAATTCAATGGGAACAGGACAGAAACCGGAATACTAGGACATTAAGGAAACCTGACTGACTGACTAACAAAATAACTTATCTAAGAATTTATGTTAATTCAAAAAAGGGACTGTGAATAGCTGGCAAAACCATTTAGGGTATGATATAGTATATTCACCAAGCTCAGTCTGCAAAGTCAAAATATGGTTTATGTTCACATCTTTTAATAAAATTCTAAATGCCATTGATACATGGGGTGGGTAAATTCCTATGAAAAAAGTCTCCGACTAGATAGTCAACTAATCTTACAGGTCTTTTGGGTAACACTACTTACCCAAAACTGATAGGTTTTGGGTGTAGCTCACAAGTGTATGGGTTCTGAGTGGCATTCCTGAGCTTCTGGCTCTCTTCCAAATGTCAGTTGTGGTGTAGGGCAGGCAGTTCAAATCCCCAGCTTAAATTTCCCAAGCATTAATAGAAAGGAAGAGAGACTTGAGAGTATTGCAATGAATGCACAGAACTGGCTGCTTCTGTTAAGTGGGGTTTCAGGACACATTTATCTGCAACTAAGTGCATTGTGCTCTGGGAGGCAGTGAGGCCTCACCCAGGACTACAGTCTAAGCAGCAAGAAAGGCTGCATGGTTGAGTGATAAAACACAGTCTGCTTCATTTTACTTATACTGAGCCTATCTTCAAGGTTGTCCTCAAAGATAGCCGCCAGCAGAGCGCCGTGGCAGTGGGCAAACAGGCAAGTGTGTAGCAAATGCAGGGTGTAAGCCGCAACGTGATTTGTGAACAGTGACAACTAGTGGGGAAAACAGTAACCTAGAAAATTGTCATTGCCAGAGCTCACTGTGGTAATTGGAAAACTAAAAATTCTTTGTCAAAGAATTGATGATCAAAAGATCGATGATCTCAGTTCAGTTTCTTGATGGATTAGTGCCTGTCTATATTGCCATAATTGCAACGACCCATGAACTGCACCAAGAGAGACAGAGGCTGAGGCTCAAAGTCTCCCTAAACTGAGGCATTTTAGCTGTGAAACCATCACTTATGAATAAACTGAAATCTAATTCAATGAAGTGCTTCAAAAGCATTCAGAAAAAAAGCTTCAAAAGCAAAAGAACCAAAAATAACATATTCAGACCATTTTGTCATACAACATCACAATCCTTGCACCAACCATGCTTCAAGTTCCTAGTATTTTTGCATCACTCACTAAAACCAGGTAGAGAAACAGTAGTCAAGCATCAGGTAATATTCCAAGAGAAATAAAAGGTATATACACAAGTGTTCCTTGGTGACTGGGCTTCAGATAAATGCTTTATTAGGCAGGAAGCATACTGCTTGGGAGACATTACCCATTCTTGATAGATTTATTATGTGCCATTTAAAATAGAGAGATTTAAACTAAAATCTTGCAAAGGCTTAAAACCTCCATGTTTAGCTTTACACCTCCTACATAGTTTCACTGAGGTCAATGAAACTATTCACTGTGGAAAGCTAAGAAGGTGTGTAAATCTCTGTAGCATTAAACATTTTTCTTGATTATCTCACCAGGGACTGGAAACAGGGATTGGCAGCTATAGACACCTAGGGTAAAATGGCAACTTGTGTCATTGAATATTGGCTTAATTGAAAAGCAGCATTAAGAATTGTGAAACAATTCTGGCCCTTTTTCCCCTAACTGCAGTGGGTGAGATTTGCTCACCCATTACTAGGGCACATTTTGACCGTGAAAATAAGTACCTGTAACTTTTTTTAAAAAGTATTTAGTGCCAGCTGGGGTTGCTGGGGATGTGTGTGTGCAATGTTGTCCATACGGGAGGCTTGAAAGCAGACCCTCTGCCTGGGTCACGAGCGGGCTGCACCACCGATAATGATCCTTCTCCTCATCCTTCTCCTCATCCTCCTCCGCTTTCCCCCACCCCAGGTGGACACAGCCCGGTCGGTGGTGGCAGGCGCTTCGTAAGACGCTGCCGAGGAGGGGAAGGGGTTTGGCAGGTCTGGGGGGCCCGGAGGCAGCGCGGGGAGCGGGCGGGGGTGACGGGGAGGCGCCGCAGGGGCGGGAGCGGCCGGGGCAGCGCCAGCGGCGGGGGGAGGCGCCGGTGCCGGCGGCGCGGGGTGCGCGGCGCAGGGGCGGCGGCCCCGCAGCCCGGGCGGGCGGCAGGTGGGAGCGGAGCGGCGGTGCTGCGGGGCGGGGTGGCTGGGAAGGGAAGGGAAGGGATGGGCTGCGCACCCAGCATCCACGTCTCGCATAGCGGTGTGATATACTGCCGGGACTCGGAGGAGTCCAACTCCCCCCACCAGACCACCGCGATCTCGCAGGGCACCACCACCCTGCACGGCCTCTTCGTTAAGACAGACGCGGCCGACTCCATCCCCTCCGTCCTCGCCTACCAGAGCCGGCAGCCGCCGCCCTCCGCCGGCCCCCGCCGCAAGGAGCGCAGGGAGTCCGGCGGCGCCTCCGCCCGGTCCAGGACGCCCCACTGCTGCAGCGTCGAGGCGGAGACCCAGACCAGCAGCTCCAGCGCCAAGGTAAGCCAAGTCGCCGCTCCGGAGGGATCTCCGGCGGCGCTGGTGCGGGTCCCCGCCGGCCGCGGCGGAGGGAGGACGCTGCGCGGAGCCAGCGCCTCCCCCGCCGGAGGATGCTCGGCGGGCGGGATGCAGCTGGCAGGAGCGGTGCCCTGGTGCCCACTGACTCACCGCAGCTGCGGCGGCCGGGCCGGGCCGGGCTGGCACTGCTGCGGGGGGGCCGCCTGGCCTGGAGCTCGCCGGGGGGAGCAGCGGCCGCCGGCCCCTCGGGCTTTCTCTTCCCCGAGCCCGCAGCCTTGGTGCCGCTCCGGGGCGCCCTGTGTTGGGATCGCTCACGCACACACAGCGAGCAGGGAAAGGGCTTGCTTCCATCTCTGTAACTGATGCCAGAGAGTACTTGGTGCTGGCTTTACTTCATCCCTTTTCCTTCCCGCCGTATCTGGTTAAAATGAACTGTTGCTCCTAGGCATGGATGTTGGGCTGAGACCCGAACCGCTCGGATCTGCTCACGTATGCTCACTAATGCACCTTGCTGGTGTAGGGCTGTGGAGATGCTCCTGGCGGAGCGGGCGGGGGCTCTGTCTGTCTGTAGGGTACCTGGAAGGCTTGGGTCCCCCTCTCAGAGGCTAAGGCAGGCTCTGCTGCAACCTGCCTGTCAACGTCTTCACTTAAGTCTAGCACTTGAAAAGAGATCATTGCGCCGGATTTTTTTTTTCCATGAAGTTTGTTTGGTTTCTTGATTGTTTTTGTTTTTGTTTTGCTTCGTTTTTTTAGTATCAGAATAGGTAACTTCCCTGAAAGCTTTCTAGAAATTAAATTTTACTTTGTTGCTCTCTTCCAAAGTTTATTAATAAAATAAAAAAACAACAAACCAGTGTCATGATCTTAGCTGCACCTTAGGTTACTTTTCTGTTGTACTAAGAAAACATGCTATCATGGCACAAAGCAATCATAGTATTTTGGAATTTCTTATTCATATTCTAACAACGTTATAAAATGTTCCTTAATATTTTAAAATTCAGAAGTTATCTTAAGGAAAACATAAGTGGGAGACACCCTCACAGCCCATTGTCAGTTTGTTAGTTCAAATGCTGAGAAACTTGTAGAATTGCCTGTGGTCACATTGACTGTTTTGATCATTCAGATGAAGAGCCTGCATCATCAACAACTGGGACAAAATTCAAGCATAACTGGAGTAAAACAATTCTTGTATTTCTTGAACTTATAGATTTCTTTTATTTTTATTTGTCAGAGTAAAATACTTGAGTCAAAATATGATTTCTTTTTTTAATGTAGAGGAGAGCAAAATTAAAACACTTTCACGATTGTTTTAAGTTGAGAATTGAAAAAAAAATTGAAAGAATTGGAAAAAAAAAGGTTTTTAGAGTCACAACTTGGTTCTTGATAGTTGTTTATTATATGTTATTACGTGATGTGCTGTTAGAAACAAATATATTTCCCAACTTTCTAGTTATTAAAACTGAATGTATTTCAGATGTTTTTGAACCTTCTGCTTAGTATTTGTAATGTTATGGTTTCAACAAGGCCCAGTGCCGGGTCCTGCCCTCGGGTCACAACATCCCCAGGCAGTGCCACAGGCTGGCACAGAGTGGCTGGAAAGGACCTGGGGGTGCTGGTGACAGTGACTGACCATGAACCAGGGTGTGCCCAGGTGGCCAAGAAGGCCAATGGCATCCTGGGCTGGATCAGCAATAGTGTGGCCAGCAGGAGAAGGGCAGGGATTGTCCCCCTGTGCTGGGCACTGCTGAGGCCAGACCTCAAATCCTGTGTCCAGTTTTGGGCTCTTCACTACAAGACATTGAGGGGCAGAATGATTCCAGAGAAAGGAAACAGAGCTGGTGAAGGGTCTGGAGCACAAGTCCTGTGAAGAACAGCTGAGGGACCTGGGGGTGTCTAGCCTTGAGAAAAGGAAGCTCAGAGGGGACCTTCTCACTCTCTACAACTGCCTGATAGGTGGGTGAAGCCTGGTGGGGGTTAGTATCTCCTCCCAGTCAACAAGAGACAGGATGAGAGGTAACAGCCTCAAACTGCTCCAGAGGAGGTTCGGGTGGGACATAAGGAAGTATTTCTTCACATAAAGCATTTGGAAGAGACTGCCCAGGAAAGTGATAAAGTCATCATCTCTGGAATTGCTCAAGAAATGACTGGATGTGACACTTTGTGCCATGGTCTCATTGATACAGTGGTGATTGGTCAAAGATTGGATTCAGTCTTGGACATCTTTTCACAGAATCACAGAGTTAACTAGGTTGGAAAAGACTTTTGAGATCATCAAGTCCAACTTACGACATAACATCACCTTGTCAACTAGACCATGGCACTAAGTGCCACATCCAATCTTTTCTAAATAATTCTGTGGTTCAGTGATTATTTCTGATAGCTTCACTTCTTTTAACAAATTATGAGTTTATTATGTGTCTGAGATTTTTTAAGTTATTTGACAACTGTTTCAAGTATATGTAGAAATATTTCCATTCTTATAAGAATTAAGATCTGTAATTGTTTTTTGTACATCACACTAAAGTATTGACTAAAACAGAGTTGGATTATTACAGAAGTATCATCAAGGCAAAATAGCATGCTATACTTGATGGATTGTAAGAACTGGAAAGTGTGGAAAGATGTAGTAGAATATGATTCCAATATTTATTTCCATAAAAGCTCAAAAGTGAAGAAAAATATTATTTATTTTGGTATGGAAAGAGTGTCTAGCAATACCACATGGTTTTAGCTGCTGTAGTGCTTGGTTGCATGTATTAGCTGTATTGGGTATTCCCCATCATATGGCATCACACTCAGGGAAAGAAGGAGCAAGGGAGGGGACATTTGGAGAGATGGTGCTTGTCTTCCCAAGTAGCCACTGCACATGATGGGCCCTGCTCTCCTGGGGGTGACTTTACTTTACTGCCTGCCCATGGGAAGTGGTAACTTAATTCCCTGTTTTGCTTTGCTCATGTGTACACCTCTTTCTTTGCCTACTAAAGTGTCAAAATTCATGAGTAATTTCACTTTTACTCTTCAGATTCTCTCCCCATCCTGTGGGTAGTGAGTGAGCCTGGGGCTTAGTTGCCATCTGGGGTTAAACCACCACAAAATCCCCTCTAAATGTATTAGGGGACAAAACCAATATACTGGTCAAATGGCTATTAGCACTATTATATATTAAAATAATTGAGCAGTTGTGTAACTGCTCAAACCACTTAAACCCTTTTGCTTGATGTGTCTTCATTTTGTGTTTTAAATCGCTCTTTAGTTGTTTACATAATCAAGTATTGCACTATTTGCATCTGATCCTGCCTTTATGCAATGTTTTAAAACTCATCCACACTATGGTATGAAACTAGCTTTAAAATAAATCAATCTGTAATATTTTCAACCCTATTCAGTTCAAATAAAAAATAAAATAAAAGTGAACCAAACAAAACTGATCTCATATCACTTAAAATGTATGGCTTATCTAAACCTTACTTTCAAAGTCTATTTGATCTCTATTCATTTGAGATCAGAATTATAAAAGATAATTTTTTCTTGTTTTCTTTTCTTCTCCTTTCCTTAATTAAAAGTTCTGAACCGTTCAGGGCGTTGAGATGTGTTGGTCCCATCCCACTCCCACTGTTCACGAGTAACTGTTCAGCAGTTTTGGTGGGTGGGTGTGTTTCTTTCGATCTTGAAAGCTTGGTAAACAATTATCTACATGTTGCCTGACAAAGGTCTCAGCTGGACTTGTTAAGAGTTAGAAGACGCATCTGTACCTTAATTTGGGAGAAGACACACAGTGTCTGGTGCCCAGCCATATGCTCTCTTATTAAGGTACTTGGGCAGAAGCACTCCGTTGAAAAAACCAGACATTCCTTCCTCTTGTACCCTCCTTAACAAAGCTGAACAGTATCATGAAAAGAAAGAGTGCTAACATCTCAAATGCTCCATCAGATTTGTATGAAGATACAAAGCATTTAGCTTCCATCACGGAAGCATATTAATGAGCTGAGAAGTTGCTGACTGTATAATGGCTGCTCGACCCATTGCTCAGTTATTGCTGGTTCTGAAGTGCAACAGTACCGGCTGTTTAGCAAGAAGTAAACAGTTTTTTGGACACTTCCTTGGGAATTTGAAAATGAAAAAAAACCCTTACCTTATATACGTTTACATCTTTTAATTATGGATAAATCTTAAGCAGAAGTTGTGAATAGTTCTGGTTTTTTGAATAGCTTGTGACCTCAGTATTAACGAAACTTTATAGCAACAGACAAGTTTCAAAGCTCATGTTGCTAACATATTAACTAGATGGAAAAAACCTCCAAACAACTTTAAGTCTTCCATTGATTACTTTGTCATATTTTTCTTCTTGAAATTACAGGAACAGCAGGTGTAATGATTTGGTTCTTCTTATTCTGTGTTCATTGTGGAAAAGAAAGACCTGTTTATGAACCTCTCTTGATCAGTCACAGTAGGAATAGGCTTTAATAGTTTTCAGGCTTTTCTGTAGCAAAGTAATTATTAGAAGCAAAGCTCATAGATAAGCAAAAACATGGTGGACACTATCTCTTATCAGTGTTGGTCTGTGTTAAGTTCCAGGGTGGAAGTGTTGGGACATATCCTTATATTCTTCTCCTCAAAATTACAAGGACCTAGCTTTTAGAATGTTTTTGGTGCTTTTTTTCGTTTGTTGTTGTTGTTGGTTTTGGTTGTTTTTTTTTGTTTGGTTAGGTTTTTTTAATGTGGGAGAATAAGTCAAAACTTCAGCTGCCAAATACAAAGTGGAAAAGACGGAGAAATCCAGCCACTGAGAGAGTTGCATCAGGTCCATAGGTCCTGTAGAAATGCAGTCATAAGTATTGCCTTGATTTCAGATACAGTTGTCTTCCAAGCAGTACCACGTGTAAGAAAACTCAGTGTACAACTTGCACTTCTGGCTTTGTTTGAAGTGTACTATGGTTTAACCGGCTGCTAGTAAGTTCTGTGGCATGTGGAACATGCCAGAT